GGAGGCCAACAAATGGTGAACAAAAAATACCATTAGCTGCTAAACCCAAGTGAATGAAGTAAGGATAGGTTCCGCGCAAGTACAGTTTTCCCCAGAAATGTAAGAATGGCTCAATCTTATCCAAAGATGTCTATCGCTATAATTCGAGAATGAACAGTAATAGCCGTAGATCATCACCATTCACTTATTATGATGTTTTTAAAATTCTGGAATAGAAGGAGATTTCAATATTTAATAAAAGTTTTTCAATAATTTAATTTATCTAAAATAAACACTTAAAACTCAGAATTCATAGATTCTTTCCAGTATTACCTCATAAATTCCTGCTAAAATATAAAAATTTACAATACACAAGAGGGACACCTGGGTGGCTTGGTTGCTTAAGCGTCTGACTCTTAGTTTCAGCTCAGATCATGATCTCCCGCTCCCTGAGTTCGAGCCCCACATCCGGCTCTACGCTGATGGCGTGGAGCCTGCTTGGGATTCTGTCTCTCCCTCTCTCTTTCTCAAAATAAACTTGAAAATTTTTTAGAAATATTAGGGGGATTTCACGGAAAGAAAAAAAAATCCGAAGAGAACTCCTAGGAATGAGAAATCTGACAGTTGAGTGTAGAAACGTGACGGATAAAGAAACACCATATTACACACAGATGAAGAGTAAGACACCGGAATTTCAGCCATTAACCGCCAAGCAGTTACTTTACCAGCAAAATGGGTGTATTCAGAGGATGGCCACTCAGAACAGCTAAGCTGCAGCAGAACTCCAGGCGATCCCACAAAGGGGAGGAGCCTTCTTTCATAGCAAACAAGGAGGGAGTTGGGAGGGCTTTTCTGAAGGAAAGTCCACTGGAGACCAGCAGCGGTGCAGGGTGATGAGGTTTCTGGCAGCTGAGTTGCAGGGGTGGTGGATTTCTCAGAGGCAGTGGCCACCTTTCCCTGCTGGGTGCGGAGGTGATGACTCCCTCCGGAGGCTAGAGTCTGACTTGGAGGGGGCTCCCCATCCGTATCCCCCTCTGGCTTCTGGAGTCCACTTTAGTGAGTTTCCCTTCACTAATGTTCACAAAGCTGAGCAAATTAATGAAACTCACAGATAAAAGGAGATGGGAAATACAGAGACTGGAATATCTGGAACCAGAAAGGAACAGTCTGATACAGAAGGAAGCAAACCGCCAGAAGTGGAGGGAATGGGGGCCTGGGCGGAACTGGCAGGCAGAACCACAAGCTTCCCAAGGCCTCGAGGGGCAGGGGAGACCGGGCTATTTCTGCTCACAAAGCTTCCTTTTTCTGGGATGATATGAGACATGGGGAGGGACGACAGGGAAGGAAATCCCTAGAACACAAACAAGCAGCAACGCACGTCTAGCTGCACATCCCCAGGGAACCCG